AATTACATAAGAGGTAGTAGAGTGTAATAAAAAATATCATTGCATTAGGAAATGAGCAATCATAGGGACCTAATCCTGTAACTGCCACTATTTGTGTGATTATGGGCAAATGATTTTATCTGTCTGGGCCTCAATTCCCTCATCTGTAACAGAGATTGGAATATATAATTTCCAGTCTCTGTGACTCTAAATTTGGTAATACTATTTGGCTGAAAGCAGGTCTCGAGGGCTTCTTTATATCTTCACAACTCCTGATTTTGGTTCCTAAGCCAAAATGCAGTTAGGTCATTCCATTTGGAACTCAGGTTTTTTGGGACTTGCCAACAGCTTTATGATTCCAGATCTGTCCAGTGTCAATTAAACTACCTCATGCTGTCACGTGGAAAAAAATTGAGAGTGATTTATCTTAACAAAGCGTAAGACTTAGTTACGTCATATTAAATAATATGTCACCTACTTTGTCCATGCCTCAGCTTCCTCCTCTGTACAATGAAAAGCTTGAACTAGAGGATTGCTAAAGTCTCTGTAAGCTTAATATTGTGGTGGTAGCATTTGAATAACTAATTCAAGAGATGTTAAAAACAATTATAATCTAGTGCAAAGGATTAGAACTTTGTGGTTGAAGGAAATGGGACTTTGGCCCTAATTACAAATGACACTCCTGACTGGGAAGCTGACTCAGGTCAGCTTTCTTGCCTTCTTTTTGTACCTAAGTAACATACCTGATTGTGTAAGTTCCAAGAGAAAAATTAGCACCACCACCATTCTACATAGACCCTTAGTATTTATCATTTCTCTTGAGTGCTTTTTCAATTAAATTAGGCTAGTCTGGCTAGTGGAGAGGATACTGGATTAGGAGTTCGAAGATCTGGCTTTTAGTCTTGCTGTTGACCTTGGATAAGAGGTTTAAGTTCATCGAGCCTCAGTTTCATCATTTGCAAATTAAGGGCATGGAGGAGAGGATCTCTGAGGTGCCATCCAACTCTAAAATAACAACTTGTTCCAGGGGAGCAGGCGCATTATTTGGGTCATCATCTGTTCTCGGTTCACTACTCAGTGGTTCATTTCCTCTGCAGGTGCCATTACCAGGCAATGGCTTGCCTATAAAATGCCCCCAGGCAGTGTTTGCCTGTGGTGTGTTGGTGACAACCCCAGGGGCTTTTCCTGCAGTTCCTTTTCTTGCACATGAAATATACAATCTGTTATGCTGGAATTCAAAGGCACCTTGAGAACTCTGGGCTTCCTTTGCTTTCATCACTGTACACTTCTTTACTTGGATCATGAGCCTACACATGTGATCAGCAGAGATGAGAATCAGTGTGTTTTTGACTGCACTCACGGGCAAGAGAGAGAATGCCTAAAGATGTAACAAGACACAGCTGCAGCAGGTGTCTGCTGAAGCATTCTCAGTTTTGCGTTTGGCTTATGAATGTGGACCAAAGTCTTATAGTCTGAATATTTCGCGGTGGGTGTATGACAAGGATAAAAGAGCATGATTACCAGTTAAAAATTCCTAACCACCTAATAGGCCAGCAATCTGGAAAAAGGTCTTGCCTGGAAGAAAGTTTGATTTGGGATTTAGTGCTGGGATGTGATGTCAGGGGAAGATTTTCATTCTCACTTTCACCCCATAGTCATTCTATGGATGTGCCTGCTATTATGCAGCATTATTCTCTATTGCTTTCTCTAGATGCGTGTTACTTTTGCCATCCTCCATCATTCCCTCCTTATTCTACTGACTATGATCCTTCTTCGACATTATAGTAATTTAGCAAATAACTGTTGTGTAAAAAATAAAAGAGGAAATAAAAGTAATGGAAGGAAGGAAAGAAAGAAGGAAGAAAGACAGGGAGAAAATGAAGGAAAGGAGGGAAGGAAAGAAAGAAAGAAGGAAGGAAGGAAGGAAGAGAAGGAGGGAGGGAAGGGAAGGAGGGAAGGAAAAAAGTTTTGCCTAAACCCCTTACCCCTCCAAAAAAAAAAAGGCCGACAAGGAAGGCCTTTAAAATATTAAATAATTTCTCCCAGGGAACTATTTTACCTACTGTATGCTTGGAGTAAGCTACTTCTCCTTAAAATCCTTCCATAGACCTGTCATGAAGCCTTTCTATACATATTTAAAAAAATAAATCTGGATTTACAGTCTAAATATGCATATTTGAATCCTGCCTTTACTACTTACTACTTCTTTGACTTTGGACATATCAAATTCTTTCTCTGGGCCTGTTTTCCTCATCTGTAAAATGAGAAGATTTGTCTACATGATCTCTAAGGTCCCCTCCAGCTCTGTCTATAATCTCACAATCCCCAGTCTCCTCAGTAATGTCACTATTTAGGAAGAGATCACTATTATGTAACAGTTTAAAAATCTGCAAATTGCTCCATATACTATACATTTGGTTCTCACAACAACTTTGTGGCTTTGCACTAATCATGCAGATTTTTGTGAATGAGGAAACTAATAATTAGAAAAGTTGACTTACTGCGGTCACCATAGCTAGAAAGTGTCTGAGCTGGAATTTTAACCCAAATTTCCTGACTCCAAGTCCTTCATTCTCTCTTATACCATATTTCCTCTGTATAATACAGAAGACAAACGACTTCAAACCAAATAAATTTATCCCATTTTTTTTTTCCTTGAGTGTGCCTTGCCTCATAAAAGAGTGTGGGGGAAGAATTAAATCAAGCCCCTCTTTCCAGTTTGGAATTGAGAACAATAGATCTCCAGGGCACAGTTAAGGGAAACTGAGTTTTGGTATCCAGGCCAATATTGTCTAGAGCTGTCAAAAGGGAGAGTCACATTCCATAATCTATGGTACAGCAGCAAAGGTAATATGTCATGGAGCTAGAACCCATAAAGTTAAATAAAAATGCTTCATTTGAATACATTAAACCATTATGCCATGTAACCTTTAAAACAGCCCACATTATGAACCAGAGGCCCAGGTTTATGGGTTGGGTTATCATTCACTTTGAAGGCAGGATCATACCATTAATAGCTCGGGTCACTGCCAACCTCTTTCTGGTTAGAATTTAGAGAATTTCTGAGTGAAAGAATTGAGAGAATCCATCCCAGGTGGCAAATTGGCCTCTATAACTTCAGGCATGACACAAATCCAGAAAAAATATCCTTAGTCTTGTTCTGGGGTACTAGAGCTAAACATTCTTAAACAGAAATAACCTGTCAACCTGAGGGAGCTCAAGCAGTTATTGAGGGGAGGAGTAGTTTTAGAGCATCAGATCTATGTTTGTGTGTGATGGAGGCCAAATGGAATTCAAGTCTCTGGAGTATCTTTAACCCACAATTATCCCTTGTTTCTGAGATAACTTGGTGCAACTTCTAATTTTGTGCCATATTAAAAATAATGTCTATTTCGATGCATTTTAAGAAATTTCTGCTAAGTCAGTCAGTCAAATATATGTCAAGCATTGTGCCAAGCACTGGGGATGCAGAGTAAAAAGGAATCCTCTCTCTCGAAGAACTCGTAGTCTGATAAGGGAGACAATATTCAAATAACTGTATACACACAAGCTACATAGAGGATAAATCTGAAATAATTAAAAGAGTAAAGGCACTGGAATTAAAGGGGATCAGAAAAGGTATCCTGAAAAGGTGGGATTTGACCTAGTCTTCAAAGAATTCAAGGAAGCTAGTAGGAGGAGAGCATTCCTAGTAGGGAAAATAGTGAGTGAAAATTGCCCAGAGGCAAGAGATGGAGCATCTTGTTCAAAGTCCAGTAAGGAGCCCAGTGTCACTGGGGTAACTGGATCACAGATATTTGGTGGTGGTAAGGGAGTGTGATATAAGGTAAAATATGTAGAAAGGTGGGAATGGTCAGGTTATGAAGGTTAAAACGTAATGTCTTGCACATAGGAGGTACCTAATAAATATTAATTATTTTAATGATATATTTAAATAGTAATTTGTATATACATAAACACATACACATATATACTTATATAAATATACATACACACACATATATGTATGTATGTATATATGTGTGTGTGTGTGTATATATATATATATACACACACACACACATACAAACACTTTAAAGCTGAAAAAGTATTTTTCTCATAACAACCCTGTGCCCTAAAGTATTATTATCATATGTTAAAGATGAGGAAACGAATTTCAAAGAGGTTCAGGTCATACAGATCCAGAATTTGAACTCTCATCATTTGATTACAAGACCCATGTTGTTTTTTTTTCCTATGACATTGTAGTGTGTAACTGGTGTGATGGTCAAAAGTAGAGAAAATAAAAATGAATGTTCCATTATTTTAAGGCTTTTGGTAAAGCATAGATAATTCTGAAATAATCATCACATTGTTCCTTTCTAGAAAAGTTTTATTGTTCTTGATGAAGACAAAAAAAAACAACAACATATATTTGAGTGACTAAACCGTAAGGTGAAATGAGGTTGATTTTTTGAAAGATGCATTAACCATTTCTAGTTCCACAGATAGTTTCCTTACCGTATCTGCAGTTATTATTAGAACTTGATATGTTTAATCCAGCTTCTCAAAGCACAGAAAACTTTTTTTTTTCTGAACAAAAACAAAAAACAAAAACAAAAGCCTAGGGTCTATCTTGTACATTGGTGAGTACACTGCTACTGTGTGAGTCTCTGGGGATACAAAGAGATAAAGGAAACTGTCATAATCTTAATCATTGGCATTGTCATTTACATTCAATAGCCATGCTTCCCACTGCTTAATGACCATGTTTTTCTTGGCAAACCCACTTTGGAAGTGAAGTGCATGGCCCTATTTACTGGATTCTGTCTAATAAATTATAACAGCTACTAGTTCTAAATATCTCTTCCTTCCTTCCTTCTTTCCTCCTTCCTTCCTTCTTTCCTCTTCCCTTCCTTCCTTTCTTTCTTTTTCTTTCTTCCTTCCTTCCATTCTTCTTTATTTCTTCTTTCCTTCCTTCCTTTCTTTCTTCCTCTTTTTCTTCCTTCCTTCCTTCCTTATTTCCTTTCTTTTTTTCTTTCCTTAAAATTCAGATAAATTTTAATAAAAAGACATTTGGCTCAACCAGTGGCCAGGGGCAGAGAAGGCCTTGGCAGAGGGCCCCAACACCACTGCCCCATCTGCATAGTATTATCCACATGAGTAAGTTCCCTCCATTGAAATCAACAGGACCGTATGGCAATGTTCAGATCTGAAATTATTTCAAATGGGTTCCTGTGTAGTTACAACTCTGTACTCGCAATCTTTGTGATTTCAATTTGGAAAGTCGTTCAAGTGAATAATTTAATGTGGGACTGTTCCTTCTGTTTTCCCTTCAAGCTCACAAATTCTAAAAATAATGTGATTATGAACAAACTTCCAGTGTTCATAATAGGACAGTAGGGGGGTTGCAGATCTATTTGCTCCAGTGTAAAAGGCCAGATCTGACTTTAAAGTAGTGATTTGGCATGGTGTTTTATTAAGACAAGTCATAGTTGTTGGAAGCCAATTTTTGCCTTCTAAAGACTTCTATGGAACAGAGAAGTTTGGCTGTAAAAGCACCAGAAGTTATAATGGCTACAGTGTAGCAAAGATGTTGGTGCTTTCAAACACTGGCATGTTTAGTTATAATAGGCATACAGACTCTCATGATATATATCAGAAAGAGAAGAGGAACGTGTCAAAATCACTCTGGCCAAGGTAGTGTTGTCACAGTGAATAGATCCCTTGCCTCGGAGCCAGGAAGACCTTAGGTCGAATTTGTTCCAGACATTTAACTTCTTTGAACCTCAATTTCTTCAACTGTAAGATGGGGATAGTAGCATATAGTTTATGGGGTTATTTTGAGGATCAAATGAGGTAATATATACAAACCACTCTGCAAATCATAGTGTCATATAAATGTTAACTATTATTGTTAACCTTATTATAAACATAGAGGTTTAAAGCAAAAAAAAAAAATGAACAAGCAAACAAACCAAAACAAAATAAAAACAAACACACAGAAAAATACCTTGAAAATCACTCCTATCATTTTGTAAATAAGGAAATCACACCTAGAGGGAAAGTGATATAATGATTTGCCCAAGGTCATATTGCCTACAAATCTTGAACCAGAACCCAGATATTTTGACTTTCATTCCTCTATTAGTTATTTATTTGTTTATTGTTTCCTGGTATGTGCTTTACTATCCCTTGAAGGCCAAGAACTTAAAAAAAATAAAAGAAGATTAATTTTTATTGTGGTAAATTTTGGATTTGTAGAAATATAGAATCAATTTTTTTCTATTGAAAATAGTTTTCCTAAAACAAGAAAGTGGCATTGAAGTTAATGTGATGGAGAATTTCACTAGTCCATTATTCTGAGGTTGCAGGAAACCACTTTTCCTGTCTTCCCTACACGAGAAGAAAGTTTTGCATGAATTATGATATTATTTACTTGAATTGTAAACTTCATATATGTGCAATGATAGTTACTGTTCTGTGACTATGACTCAGATTTTTTCCTGCTTTTGTTTAAGCCCATCTCTTCTTGTTCAGCTATCAGAACAAATGAAGAAGTGTTGCTCCCCATCCTCAATAGTCTAGACACCAGTTGGGGAAGGTGATCATTAAACAAAGTGTCATTAGCCAGGCTATAATTTCAGGTTAGCTGTATTGCCAGCTGCATGCAGGCACAGGTTAATTAGAGGAACAGGTTTCTTTTTGTGTCCTTTTCTACGTGACAAGCAGCTGCTAGCCTTGTTGCCATTTAGGATAGTCTGTTAAAGTCTTATCCAAAGGAGCTATCAGTGGGGCCATCAAACTCCTCATATATTGGGGGCATCCAGTGGTATAGTGGAAAGAATTCTGGACCTAGGGTCAGAGAATCTGGATTGAAATTCCACCTCTGATGTTTACTACCTTTAAGTGATTTGCGCAGTCACAAAGCTAAGTGTTTGAGGTAGTGAACATTTAGAACTCAATGTCTCCTGACTCCAGGCATAATGTTCTATCTTATCCAGAGATTATCATGGTCACACTCTTTTGTCATAAGGGATAGTGAGGCTTCTGCCCTTCCTCCTATTTCACTAATAGGTAAAATCTTATCACTTACTTCTGTCATTTACAGAGGGATGCAAATCAGAAGAAATGTTATGCTTACTGTAAGTCCATCCTGGACTTTGTGACCTTGGGCAAATCATTTCACTTTCCTGAGCCCAGTTTCTTCATCTGTTTAGCAAGGGATTGAACTACATGATCTCTAAGGTCCCTTTTACCTCTGAATCTGTGATGCTATCTATGGTCCTAAGTCATTTAACCTCCCTGGGCCTCATCTTTAAAGTGAAGGGGTTGGAATACATTATATCTGAGGTAACTTACAGTTCTAGATTTATGGTACTATGACTTTGTTTCCAGCTGGCCCCACTCAATCTGGATACTTTTCTTCTTGCTTGCCTCCTCAGGTCACATAATTTATTTTCTTTTATTTTCTTTATTTTATTAATGTATTTTGATTTATCAACAATCACTTCCATAAGCTTTTGAGTTTTAAATTTTTTACCCCCTCCCTCCCCACCTTCCTCCCAAAGACAGTGCGCAATCTGATATAAGCTCTACATATACATTCCTATTAAACATATTTTCACATTAGTGAATTGTAAGGAAGAATTAGAGCCAGTAGGAGGAACTACCAGAAAGAGGAAACAAAGCAAAACAGAAGGAAAAAAAGAGCAAATAGTATGCTTTGATCTGCATTTAAACTCCATAGTTTTTCTTTGGATATAGATAGCATTTTCCATCATGAGACCTTTGGAGATATCTTAGATCCTTGCATTGCTGAGAAGGGCTAAGTCTGTCAAATCGCACAACATGGCTGTTACTGTGTACAGCGTTCTCCTGGTTCTGCTCACTTTGTTTAGCATCAGTTCATATAAGTCTTTCCAGGTTTTTCTGAAGTCTGCCTGCTCATAATGTCTTATAGCACAATAGTATTCCATTGCATTCATATATCACAACTTGTTCAGCCATTCCCCAATTGATGGGCATCCCCTCAATTCCCAATTCTTTGCCACCACAAAAAGAGCAGCTATAAATACTTTTGTACATGTGGGTCCTTTTCCCATTTGTAAACAATTTATTGTCTTCATAATAGCTTGCCATAAGGTGCTTCTCTAGGAAGCTAGTTCTTTTCTGTCTCCAGGGTTTGCCCAAGTTATGTATTATATATAATTCAAATTTCCCTTTTTCTGTCTATTATTCTAGAATCTTCCCCTTCTTAAAATGGCAAGATGTAATACATTTTGTGCAGAAAAATACACAATCAGTCCTGTCATTAGTAAGTCAAACATAGAATGACTCCTGCTTTTATAATCTATTTGCAACTAGCTTATATATAGTGTACATTATGTATATTTATACATATATGTATACACACAAAGAAAAATACATATGCATACATATGTGTATATTAATTGGTTTTTTTTATTTGTCATCTACCATATGAGATTGTAAACTCTTTGAGAGCAGGGAACCATTCTGTTCTTTCATATATTTTGAAGTAACCAGTGTAGATCCAAACACCCAGGGTGGGCCCTGGGCAAAAATTCTGAAATACATGAATCATTTCCAGCTTTCCTGTTATGGAAGTTTCTATAAAACTATGTGGGGGATGAGGACCTCCTCATCTTTCCTTTTTTCTCTCTTCCCTTCTCCTAAGCTGTCCTCTACCTGGGAATTCAGCTAATAAAATTTCTTCTCTGTAAAAGATCAGATATTAGATATTTACAACTAAGTGAAAACTCAAATCTAAGTGTTCCCTGTCCCAGAGGCATTGGCATTTGAGGGCTCCTCTCCAAGGATAGAACCAGTACGTCCTCCACTGGTAAATTAACTTAAAGCATCATGGAGTAGGTAAAGCATTTTTGGAACATGAGGAACCCTTCCTTCCTGGGAGAGGGGAGAGCAATATTGAACAAAGCATTGCTTTTAGAGTCTGAGTCCCAGCTTTGTATCCTAGCAGTGCTGCATACCGTGTTTGTGACTCTGACAATTCATTTAATCCTACTGGACTGTCATGTCTTCATCTGGAAGTGAAGAGGTTGGATTAAGGTCCTTTCCAGTGCTCAACCCATGGTCCTGTGAATAGTGTGTAGGTAGCCACTTAACTCACCATTAATAAGACTGATCTATGCATATAACAGATACTAAAAACATTTGTTGCTGGACCACCATATTCCTCCCTGACACACCAGCACCTCTGGGAGGAAGAAGTTACTGTACAAGAGTCCCCGAGGCTCCTGGAATAGCAAGCATTAGACAGGTGAACTGCATGGTTCACATAGGCTGACTCCTCTGAGAACTGCTCTAATCAATACACACACACATCCAGATGCATATGTTGTTGCTGTTGTTGTTGTTGAGTCACTTTCATAATGTCTCACCCTTCATGACTCCATTTGGGGTTTTCTTGGCAAAGATATTGGAAAGGTTTGCCATTTTCTTCTCTGGCCGATTCGTTTTATCAGGCAAGCAGAGGTTAAGTGATTTTCCCAGTGACAGAGTTGGGAAAGTGTCAGAGGTTGGATTTGAACTCAAGTCTTCTTGACTCTAGGCCTACTGCTCTATTCACTGAGTCACCAGATGCCTCTGTATATGTTATATGTTTTATGTGTAATGTTCATTCCCCGTTGTGTAGAAGGTTGCTTATTTCTCAGTTTCTGTTCTGTCTTTGGACTGTCAGGATACAAAGGATTGGAGAGTGAGGAAGCTGCTAAAAAGCTTCCAGCTGTTGCCAAACATCAGTTATGTTAGACAGTAATATAATGCAATAATTTTTCATATAGCAAAATAGCAAAACAGTTTAACACATGGTAACAGTCTATGAAGGCAACAACAAACCATTTGAAATGACAGTGCATGACAAGCAGTGGGTGACAGCCAATAGGTATTTCCAGGTGACGGGAATGATTTTTTTAAAAGCCATATTTGGAGGAAAGAGGGTTAGGTTCTAGGGAAGGAGGCAGCTTATGAAGGAAGACTGGATTGCTTTATATGAAAGGGAATAAAGATGTCGTAGGTTAGAACACACTGATGAGCTTGATTTAAATGGAACTTGAAAAGAAGCCTTATGTATACAGACGATGAGGACTGAGTCAGATAGTGAAGGCAGGGAAGATATGAGT